ATCTTTTGTTTATATATATATATATTTAAATATTCTTTTATTTATAAAATTTTAAGGTAATTTTTTTAAACTTTAATTAAATATATTATTTACAACATAATTTGTATATTTAACAATAATAAATGTAATACTTTTATGCGTTATTTTATAGTATATAGGTACTACAGTTTTTAGGTAATATCAGATAATAACCAATTTTTTTTACAGACAAACGTTCCTTTTAACGATATAATAACAAAATTTGGACTGACAAACCCTTTTTAATTGCTGAGTACCTATATGAATACTTTGTCATACCAAAATATGTTTTTTTATAATGTGCACATAATATTTTGTTCATTTTTTAGTCTAAGGGCCAGTTTTTTATCCCTATTATTTATAAATATAGTTTATACATTGTTTTGTTCATTTGTTCCCATGGAGTTTCAAATAAAATTTATTTTCTCTAATTCTTTTTTATTTAACCTGGCTATAACCCCTACAACCACTTTAATTTAATTAATTGCTGAGTAATTGTAACACTTTTTAAAGTTGAAAGAACACCATTTTGAGTAAATTTAACTAAAAATTTATTTATATTTAATTAGGTTTTAAATCAAAATATATTAAAATTTTACTCAAATTTGACTAGAATTCACTCAAAAGTTGATTAAAATTTACTAAAAATGTTTAAGACTTTAGTATATTTAATTAGGATTTAAATCAAAATGTATTACAATTTTACTCAAATATGACTAGAATTTACTCAAAATTTGTAGGACTTTAGTACGTAATTTGATAAACATATTCACTCAAAAAGGAAATAGTTTACTAAAACACACTGAGTTAAAAAAATTAATCAATTTGGTGTGGACCTAGATTAAATACATTTTTATTTAATTTTGAGTAAAATTTTACTCAAAATTTTTTACTGTGTATGTTAAAAGAATTTCCATATATTATATATCAATAATTTACGGCAGTAGGTCGGGTACTTGTAAAATTAATAATATAAATACATACACACTTGATTTACTTTTTATTTTCAAGGATAATGGTTGTTATATTAACCTATACCTACATTTTTATTAATATTATGGAAAATTTGTACACGTGTGATAAATCCCCGACATACAGCGGCCTGACGCCTCTCTACCAATGGGATCACCCATTTTTATAACAGAAAAAATGGATTACTGATGACTTCATAAGAAAATTCATTGCTTACAAGTTGACAGCCAGTAAAACATTGCATTGATCTAAAACTTTTACGACTCAAAAATAAATTATATTTTAAAAGGTACCGATTTTGATAATTGTCTTAGATTTTTGTTCCAAATAAATGTTTCTCTTTATTTACCTTTTCGTTTTATTCACTACCAACAATAGGTTTTAATCAAATAATAGTGTTAATTTACACTAGAAGTTTGCACTAAAAGAGTAAAAGTACCTTTCTAAAATTAGAACTTTTCCAAAGTAGTGTTAATTTACACTGAACAAAAGTGGGATTTTACCCAGGAAGTGTAGAAGTACACGATTTTAGGTAAATTAACACTTATTAATACAGTGTAAAATTACTTTATCCTCAGTGCTATAGTGTTAAATCATACTTGCTTACTCGGGGAAAATTACACTATAGTGTACAAATTGTATACAAATTGTATACAAATTAACTCTAATTGTAGTGTATAAAACAACACTATTTAGGTGGACCTGTGTGAACTCTAATTAGTGTTGCTTAGAGTTGATTTTTTTACTGTGCACCATTTAAAATCTAAATTATTTAACAGATCGAACACCACAGCACCTTTAAACAGGTATAAAATATTTAGCGAATGTATTTTTGGTGGGTAATTAATTTATAAATGCGGATTGATTTATTCATGAGATACAATTTAGGACGTTTGGATGCAATACTTTTTAAAGCGGTTAAAATGTATCGATTCGGGTGAAACCGTAGGTAGGTATAAAGTGGATGTTTCGGAATCAGCCAGCAATTTATAACCACTTTAGTTGATAAGTCAACATAACGTTTCCGGGGCGAAACGTTTAAATGTATGTTTGAACATCTACATAACTAAAAACTGCGCGCATTAAAATATATGATCAATAAAAGTAACATTAAGCGTAAAGGGCCAAGTGAGACCCTCCAATTTATCGTGGCCTTTACAGCCTTGGCTTAAAATTGCCCTTTTGGAGTATAGTATATATACAGGGTGTCAGGAAATAAATACTATTATGTTAACCATGTTTATATTGTAACAGTTTTATTGTCACTTTAACTATATTTTTGTTGTTGCACAAAACAATAATTTATTTGGTTAAAATAATTATATGCGTAAACATTCCCTGGCGAAAATGAAATGTGCAAAAAGTGTTCAAAATTATTTGAGAACAATGTGCCAACAATGTGCAATCTTTTAAAAAAATGATATGCGGAGGGTGGGAAATGGAACATGAAACAATGTGCAAAACCAAAAATTTAAAAGTGTGAATAATCACTGGACAATGTTCTAAAGGGAACTCCTTTTGATTTTTCACATTGTTTGCACACTGTTTCTTGCCACCTGTGTGCCTATTACAAAAACAGATTCTTTTTGTGACCTATAAAGTCTTTTAAACTTACACATAATTGAAATATAAATATCCTTATAATAATATTAATCAAATAAATATTTTTTTTTAATTAAAAAAAAAATACCCACAATGTAGGTCCTACATACTGTATTTTATCAAGAAAAATACGTGCACTGTCAACTCCACGAAGGGGATTGCTTTGATCTTAGCAATAGGCCGAGAAGCGATACATAAGATGGAATCTACCTCACCTTTTAAATAAATGTTGTACCCCAACTCAAGCGAGATATATCTAAAATGTGCTTAAACTGTTGAGTGATCGCTAAAACTGTACAAACAATGTGCTATAAAAAGGTGTAATATAAGCGTCATAAATGAGAAATATTAAATACAACAATTTTCTATAATCTATTGCAATTTAATATTGTTATGCTGACCAAACTGTATAATATTTTTAATCATTGGATATTGTTGTAACTGCAATAATATATTGTTATTTTAAGCACAAAATGTTTTTAGCGATGCAATCAAATTAAATTACTATATTAACCACATTAAAGGGTTGTGGATAAGGCTTGATTTAAGAATTATTCAAATGTATAAATTAATAGTATATTATGTATCAAGTTTGATAAACGCCATTTTATAGTGTATAGAAAAGTTTATACTTTTTTTACGACAAATACTTATTATTATCTTAAAATTATTTAAATCGAAAATTTGTATAGAGCGCCATCTATGAAACAATAGGGGAATCTGTGTGTCACCGTCAAATGTCAAATTTTTATATTTTATAAACACAGATTATAAAGGTTATAAATCGAAACGTATTTCTTGAAAATTGAAAGTAAAGAAAATGTTTTATGAGCACTTTACAGTGGAGTCTGTGCCCGAATTTAAGTTATAGTTTACTGCCGGCGAAATTAAAAGGTCAGTACTGTACGTACAATGTTCATATAAACTTTTCAAATATTGGCGTTGAGAAACTATTTAATACTTTTGTATTTTTAATAATAAAATAATTTTCACATTTAGTATTATTTTACAAGAAAGGCAATTTATTTGAACGATTGTATGACATTTGACAAATAACTTAAAACTAACTTCAGCCCGTGACTAAAAACCTGTTGCTAACTTCAGCCCGTGACTAAAGCGCCATAAAGCCACAACTTGTCAATGTGTATTTAAAAGGTCACTTAGTGTCATGGAAACACGGCGTTTTAAAGGTGGGAGTAGAAAAACATTTTTATTTCATAGTAATACAAGTACCCTATACATATTAAAAATAAAAACAACATTCTAAGAACAAATTAGAAAAAATAAAATAGAAATAAAAGTTTATTACTCTAATCAGGTAGTTTCACAAAATAAAAAAACATTGTAAAAACAAAAAAATAAAGATAACTGATTTTTACACTATTGGGGACATACTCCCATGAAAAACTAAAAATAAAAGACCTTTTTCCTACTAACTAAGGTCAGTACAAACGTTCATATATTCTTTTCAAATGTTGGTGTCAAGAAACTCTTTAATACTTTTGTAATTTTGTGTTGAGATAATAAACTAATTTTCACATTTATTAATATTTTACAAGAATTGTATGACATTTGACAACTGTGAACTGACTTAAAACTAACTTTAGCCCGAGACTAAAAACCTGTTGCTAACTTCAGCCCGTGACTAAAGCGCCATAAAGCAACAACTTGTCAATGTGTAGAAAAAATAACTAATAAAAACCTGATTATTTTTAAGTGTAGTTTAAAAACTGATAACTGAAGTTAAAAATAATAGGTTTATTAAAAAGTTGCGTTGGTTAAATTGTCGCTGGGTTTGGCAACACCGCTGGGAATAGAGACTAAAGAATAATAATCTAAAGTTTGGATTCTTAACTGTTCTGGAATCGACAGTGTTTTGTTTGGTTGTTTATTTTTTAGGGTTGTTTCTTTGTTCCGCGTGTAATCTTATTAATTATTAAACAGGCGAGAGCCTTAAGTAAAACAATAATTTAGCCGTCGGTAATGGGAAAATAAAAAGCCGGGCGCCGCCTTCGCGAGCCGCCCGCCCGCCTCCGCAATACTTTATGGATCATATTTAAACGCGCGGATATAAGAATTAATATTCCGCATTTTTAGCAACAGATGTTTCTCGCCTCCTGCATTTGCATAAACATCGCGATACATTGCCCTGATCCCTTCCTTCCTCTGCTTCTCCTTTTTAATGCATTCGTCTTCCTACTTTTCCATTCGATTACGATTCATTAATAAACTTTTAATTGGACGCCCCGTTATTAATCATTCTCAAACTTTTCAATTCTATAATCTCCTTTAAGACCTAAATTATTCCTCAGGGTCTACGACCAAATACTTACTGTTTAGTTTTACCTTTAGTGGGTTTATGTTTTAGAAAATTAAATCAGTAAATTTGTACCAACCCTGCTACTCACCCCTAAGAAATCTTCTTCTTGATTTAAAGCAGGACACACACTTAGCAAAACAACTGATATTTTTAGAAAAAAGCAAATACCCATAAATCTGAAACAAACAAAGAAAATTATCAATGTAGATAGTTAAAATCAAATTTCAGGAATTTGCTTGTGCTGTAAGTACTTTTTACAGCTAATACTTTAATCTGCTTTATTATACTCCCGTGTGCTAGCTTCTTTAGAGCAGTTTGTCTCGATGGCAATACAATAAAAGTTAACGTTATGTGGACGTTGTGTTCTGATTTTTTCCTTATCAGTCTTTATCAATAACGAATAATCCTTATCGATAAGAAATTTCTGTTTGCGACGCGTTACGCATGACTACCCTTGTGATTTTTATCCTTGGCCAAAAATTCGTATGCAATTTTTAGTTTTAAAAAATCTTTGTTTTCAGAAGAAAAAAAATTAGAATAAACACTCGATTACCTTGTTAACTGCCTATTGGTTTTATGAGATACTTTTTCGGTTTTAATGAAATAATAGTATATTAAAGAACTAATGTCATAAGACGTCATTAGATAGGTCTTATGACATGAGTTCTTTATCCTATTTTATCTATTTTGCAAAAATTCTATAAATTAATTTATACCTTAAATTTAATTTGGTCGAATTTTACTTTAGATAGTTGGTATCACAGTCATTGGTTTGACAGCTAATGTCAAAATCGATTCGCCATGCCGTCCTTAATTTACTTATTTACAATAAGCGGCTGTTAATGTTAAAGAAGAAAAAAAGGATTTTCTTTGGTGTTAAACAAAATTTATTGCCAGAAAAGTTTCTTAAGTACTAGTAAAATCAGAAAAATTTTATAAAATAATTGCTAAAATAATTTTAAAAAATGTTGTTTAAAAATAATTAAAAAAACTAATATGAATTAATTAAACCATAATATAAATTATATGGATATGTTTTTTTAATCATTTTTAACAACAAAACTTATTCTTGCAATGTTATCATAGTTATTGGACACTTAAGGAATATTATTTATTTAAAATATATAAATGCTGTTTTAAAAGTTTTAGTTTTTTTCTTATAAATATATAAAAATTATAGTTTGTTTAAATAACCTTTATTTACGTTTACTTAAAAATAAGAATATTTGAATTTTTAATAATAGTTTTATAAAAACATGCAAAAAAGTATAGTAATTGGACATTTTATATAGTAATTGGACACATGGAACATAGTTATTGGACAATTTTTATATAAACATAACAACTTTACATCAAATAACATAAATGGTTAAATATTTTTTAAAGTTAAATTGCTGTTTTAGGTAATACTATAATCAATGCAAATATAATTATTTATATCTAATTTATAAATAAATCTGCGACAAATTGAAAACAAACGGAAAAATAACGCAACGGTATTTTCAAATACGATTTCGACAAGTGACATATGTCAATAGTTCACTAGTCATTAGAATTGCACATTTTATGTAACAAATACATTAAAAGCTGTTAGTCATTATTTGGAGTTCACTAATTAAAATTCTCAAAAATTTGATTAAAAATCATTAATTTTTTATAAAAATTGATTTTTCTAAAAAAAGTGCCAAGCGAATTGAGTTTATCCTAAAAAAAATGATTTTATATCAAAATATGAAAAAAAATCGGATACGTCTGAACCTTTCAATTAAAAGTTATTCAGGGACACCGTGTATTTAAATCACTGTTATTCTGCAAGATGTCCTGTGACGAAGAAATCACTCTATTACTTACTTTCTAAAAATGAATTAGTCAAAAATGTCATAGCGAAAAAGCAGCCACTAATAATTCTCGTCAACAGCAATTTGTATCCAGGACATTTATCAGTCAATTTCTATGAAATATTATTCGCTGAATCCGAAAATCTCGTCAACATTTATAAAAGTGGAACAGTTTTGAAATATAATCAATTTTAAATAAAATATGGAATTAACTTTATCTTAAAAACTGCTTAACTTTTATAGTTTTGACGGTCTTTTTGGATTCAGGGAACAATATTACCTAAGAATTGGCTGGTAAATGTCCGGGATACAAATAGAGTATCATATTGGACATATGTCCAATAATAGAAATTTACATTTTTTACCAACCAGTAATTGGACACTGGCCATTTTACTGTTTGTATTCAGAATTAAAATTAAAACGAATTATAAACTTTTTAGAAATATTTTTTTTTGTTTTAAAGTTGTACTTTGGTCTTCATAAAGTAATACTCGAGAGTTAATAGTTTTAATATTATTGTAAACCAAAGTATATACTACGGCAAAAATATTTAAAAAGAATACTGTTTACATGCTTTATCGACTTCTTAGGACATCATAAAGCTCACTTAACTACCATTTAGTTTTATAGAGGAGCAGAGGAGGGTTTATAAAAGCTGTGACAATCTTATTAAAGTAATTATAATAAAACCTATGCAAAAAAGATATTAATAATAATAATAATAATATCTTTATTCATCCAGTAGATCAAATCACGATATAGGACAAGTCAACAAAAAAAAATTACATTATATTACCTAAACCATTAAGAAAATACAACATACAATGAAACTAAATACAGAAAGTACAATATTTTATAATCAGTTAAATATGACACTGCAAATAATCATTTACAGAATAAAATGCATTATCAATAAGAATTTTTGTAATTTGACATAAATAATTTGAAGTCTCTAATCGATAATGGAAGTTTATTATATAATACAGATCCAATATAAAAAGGATTAGATTTATACAGCTCCATTCTGTGCAAAGCAAATTGTAATTCGTTACCTCTACGTGTACCATAATTCTGCCGTGCTTAATGAAAACGCCGTAACCAACAATTTTGAGATTTTTGTTTTACGGCATTTTCTACTAGAACAATTCATCCTGCGTCTATCCCCGGTACTCAAAAATATAAATAAAATATAGATACGGTTTTTTGAGTACCGGGGATAGACGCAGGATGAATTGTTCTAGTAGAAAATGCCGTAAAACAAAAATCTCAAAATTGTTGGTTACGGCGTTTTCATTAAGCACGGCAGAATTGTGGTTTATATTTTGAAACTATACAATATACAATGATGGAAACGTTAGTGTGTTTTGCCTAATAAACATAATTTTGCACGAGTCTCTCATTTTCAAACCGAACATACATCGTATCGCCCGTTTTTGAAAAGTAAAAACCCTGTCCGATGTTATAGAGTTTCCCCACAATATAATAGCATAACGCATTATGGATTCTATATTAGAGTTATAGAACATTTTTACCACTTTTGCATTAGAAATATTTTGTAACCTTTTAAGAGCATACCAGATTAACTTGAACCTTACAATTTAGTGACATATCAATATTAACACCTAACAATTTTGTAAATGAAACTTGTTTAATTGTTTAATTTAATGAGTGGACTTTTAATGTAATATGCACCATATGGATGAAATTCAATATTGAAAGTTTTTTTCTGGTTTAAAGATAACCCATTAAAGGCAATAAAAGGATTATCCTTTTAGGTCCTAAGAAAGTCTTAAGTCTGCTGTAACAGTGCATTAATTAATTTAAAGTACAAATAGCTTTAAGGTGAAATTATTTACAGCGATAATAAAACCTAATATGTTACTTGTGGTAAAATATCTTTATTGTATAAAAAATTAATCATCTATAGTGGATCATAAAAAATTTCGCACTGTAAAAACTATTCCTTCCCGAACGTCCCACAAAGCGTCCAGAGCCTTTGTGACAAAGGGGCCTTAGTCTGGGTTTTTCATAAACTAATAAGCAGCGCCGGTGGTTCAAAAGCAACGACTCCATTCGCGTATTTATACGAATAAAATATAAGAAGAGCGCGATGATTTTTTTTAATCAGCATGATCCAAATCGCCCGACTTCGTTTGCGACAGACGAGCTTGTCTTTAATCTTGGACTGGTGGCCGCGGGCTGAATTAATATCTTGCCACATCTTATCGCCTTTGTCCATTTGTGCGCGTCGCTTGTTTTTCAATCGTGATTGAAAACCAAAGACTCCGGTGTTCGAACTTTATACACAGTCATGTCTTACGTAAGATCTGTTTTAGATTGTACCTGTTGGTTCCTGATTAATTTAAGACAAACAATTCTGTAAGGTATACGCTAAAGAAGTATCGCTAGTAGCGCCACCACTCGGCTGTTATCATTTTAACCAGTGGCGGCCCGTGACATTTCATTTTGGTGAAGCAGAGGCAGGGTTTCGCCCTCATTTAAAGGCGAAGAAATTTTTTTAAACCCAACTTAAAAAAACTGACGTCGCAGTTCACAACCTATCCTTAAAACTAAGTAAAAAACTTAGACTGTGGTGGGGAAGGAATCCTCTACTTTGTCAATGAAATATATTTTATTGTAAAAATGACGGTTATTTTAAATAAACCTCATTTTTGTCTAATTAATATTTCATTGTTCAGCAAGAACCACGTGAAGGTCAACAATATCGGTACAATTTCTCACCGTAATATCCATAATGACTAAATTCACATAAATCACCAAGTTCAATTAACTAAACCCACAGAATAAACCACTTACAAAAGAATCATAAAATAGACAAACTCATGGAAAAAGAATAAACAAAATATTGCGTAAATAACCACAGATTTGTTCTTTAAACAGTTCAGAATTTTATAACCAAAACCAACCTAAAGAAGGAATCTGTATTTATTTTATTGGTTACTGTGATGGCTACAAGATGGCGATAGTGTTAAAATATGTTTATTTTAGAATAGAAATATAATTTCGATTAAATCGATTTATTATAAGAAAAATAATACCATTTATTATTGAATTTTGAAAAACTTCCGCAACAGTGTTGCCAGAACACCTGCTTATTTCCTTGGATTCAGGCGTGCCTGCCTCGCGTATGCTAATACATGAGAAGGAAACATCTATGATATCGCATTGTAATAGAACGAGACAACAAGGCTAACACCAATCGTGAGTCTAAATTAGTTCAGGCATGCTTCTGAGCCAATCATCTAGCTATAAATATTAGTTTAAATTGCGGTCGTTTCAAATTCAAATAATTTAAATGTTGCTGGGTATTCCACAT